TAATTAATAAATAATTAAATATTTAATTTAATCTTTAACATTCAAATGTGTATATTTGGTACGATACGTGACGTGTAGTGTATGATTATAGGTTTAGCTGCATACATATTTCGGATTGAAAGAAAAATTTGGAGATCAAAACCATTAATTTTTCGTAATTAATTTCTGTTATGATAGTGTTCAATTTTTACTTTAATGTGTGAATATAAAACTTTAAAAATAGAAAAAAAATTGATAGACTATTTTAACATGAAAGATGATGGAATAAGAACTATAAGGGTTTTATTCTTTAATTGGCATATTAAGTACATACTGCCAAAAAAATTAGAACTTTTATTAAACATAACATACTTATGTCGTACGCACTTGACTTTTTATGTTAGTACTTATTTTAACAAAGCTATTTCTTTAGATGTCGACGATGTAAAGTACGTGATCAACTTCGATTATCCAACTTCATCCGAAGACTACATTCATAGAATTGGTAGAACGGGCCGTTCAAATAATTCAGGGACGAGTTACGCATTCTTTACACCGCAAAATAGTCGACAAGCTAAAGGTTTGGTTAATGTACTTAAAGAAGCCAAACAAGTAATCAACCCAAAGCTAATGGAACTCGCAGATAAGAGTGGGAACGATGTTGCACGAAGTAAGTATTTATGAGAATTATCAAAGTAAGTTATTATGTAGCATTTTATTAAATTTTCTTAAATATTTTATATGTAAATTTGCAGATCGTTGGGGATACGGCAATTACCGTAGAAGAGAGACAATTTTTCCTAAAACAACGCATAAACGATTCGAAAATGTAAATTATTTTGACGCGTAGTTGATCTATTTCGACTTCCGATCACAAACTTTCTAAATAAGTAACCTGTGTTGGAGATCCGAAACTTGTTACAATTTTTTTCTGTGATTAGAAAAAGTTCTCCATCGAGGCTGTACTGCTTTAAGTTAGTTACGTGCTCGGTTAATTTTTTATTTTTATTTATGATCTTATTGTTGTAGTTAGCGATAGTATAAACTTCAGTGAACTATGCAAAACGTACCTTTGTTAAATTTCCGTTACGTAATAATATTTTACACTATATTTCTACTTTTTCATTCATCAAGGCGCGTATAAAGTGAAAAATATGTAACGGGTAATTGCCACATAGAAATGCTAAGTATAGAAGATAATATAACACAATTGACAATCTCCGAAAATTAAATTCTATTTAAAATATTTTGCTCGTTTTATTAAGAAACTAAAATTAGTTTTGATTACATACTCAATTTTTATTATGAATGGATTAAAAGTTTCATTTAATTTATAATTCTTTAGGCGTCTCAGAAGTCGGAGCTCAGTAAGATATAAGTAAATAATAAATGTATCAGTATTCATTCCACTCCTTTAATGTGACCAACTTTATATTTGGTCATACAGTGAAATTATTTTTTGTTTATATCTATAAACCTTAATGGGAGAACGTACTGAATATTATAACTGTAAAACTACACTTTGTTTACGTGTGTATCTTACCGTACCCTATATGGATAACGTAGTCCTAATTCACCGAAAGAAATCTCTGCTGGACAACTCAATATTGTAGTAGAATTGTCTATGTATAAAAACGTAATTTAAATCTTCTCATCAATCAAACAAATTATTCAAAATCATCACAGCACTTGAATAAACGTTCAGATAATTGTTTTCTTAATTCTATATATTTAACTGTTTAAACCAGATAAAAAATTGTCGCACATTAATGTATCACATTTGCAATTACAAAAATAAACTCTGTGTAAATTAAAGGCAATCAAATGTTTATAATACTATTTATGATTCAATTATAATATTATATTAAGCCTGCTGAATCCTGTATTTCACAATTCAACTTAGAAGATAACTATTATTTTAGTTGCTTATTTTTTTTATTTCTATAACATGAAAAGCTACATTAATTGTTAATTTTATTTTATTGTAATTCATAAGATGTGAATTATTTTCAGTTTAAAGATAATTGAAAGAGAATAGTAGCTTTTAAATAAGTTTTACAAGTCTTCATACTTTCTTATAAAAAATTCAGTCTAATATTCGTACGTTCATTATTGATCAAACGACGTGTAGAAAATGGAAGAAGTAACAAAATGAGTGTTTTATTACATACGAAGAATGAGCATATCTAATGTTTGTAGACTTATTTTTTGTGCGGAAATTACAAATTGCGAGAATATTGCACAATTGTTTGAAAATGTAATAAAAGAAAAATTTTCGCAAAGTATTACCGGATTATTTCTCATTTACTTTGATTTTGTGATTCATTTAATTGAAGCCGTAGAAGACGATGTATTTCGATTGTGTCATGAGGTATTTATTACTGATTCAGAAATTATGACGAATATTAAATGTTTATACATACAAAATAATGTTAAAAAAAGATTTTTTAAAAAATGGTATTTCAAAAGAATGAATGGTCATACTTCAAAAAACGATGAATTAGAGAAACTTGAAGATAACTTTACAAACGCTTCCAATATATATAAAACAATGATTTTAAATTTGTGTAAACTCTATATTGAATTATGTAATACATGGCGATTAAAAAATGATGTAGGTACAAATTGTTTTATAAGGAATTCAATGTGTGTATTAAAATTTTGTATAATAAATTAATGTGTGAATATAATACAAAATCTTTTTGTAGGAAAATTTTATTGATCAATTGGACGTGATATCTATAAAAGGTCATCCATATATTCCATCTAAAAGAGACATAAAATTTATGCTTCGAAGTTGTTGGGGTTATAATTTAGCAACATTGGTAAAGGATTATAGTACTTTGAACTATGTTTCTAATTTTGACGATTATTCATCAATTTCCGAAATTATACAAGAAATTGATTATAATGAATAATTCATTAATATAAAAAGTACGTCAATAATACTCATAGCACAATAAAAAATTTGAAAATGTGTTTGTTAGTAAAATACAGCGCTGTTGCGTTAGCTATCCGTGGCTTGGGATCAAATCTGGCTAGCAATCAAGAGATGTAGTGTTTTGGGAAATGCCAGGTGTTTCTTCTCCACTGAGTGCGAATGAGATACAGATATCCACATGCCTCGGTTAAGTTTGTTTATTTTAGATATGTGACGCTGGAGGCTCACTTCCAAGCGAGCAAGTTCCAAATAGCGACGGACAGCTAACACGACAGTGCTGTAATCTTTGCATAATTATATTGAAACAGTAAAAATAATTACATAATTTTTCAGTTATACGAAGTTGTATAATTAATGCAGTGCTGTTCAAGATAAGTTTTGCAACTTAAGAACTTTTCATCACTATGGTACAGAGACTAAATGATGTCGTTTTGTGTGTTACACGGGTTCTTGAGGAATTTGATAGAATTGCCGCCCGTGGAGCGCCAAAGCGCTCTGCTCGCGATAGTTTAGGAAATTTAACGTTGAATCTTTTATAAAAACAATAAATAATTTGATAAGAACAAGGATAAACGAAATGTTTTAACTATAACTTTTATTACGAAATAATTCATCTGGACTCTTTGAACAAGGAAAAACGAAGAAATCTTCAGGCGTCGTCGATATTCATATCCAATGTTAACATGTTTTTGTTAAACAATAGTCTCCAATTAAATTAAAGATTCTATATAAAATTATTTGAGGATGAATTTGATTGGTACTCCTCTTTTGTTTATTAATTCATATTTCTTTTAAAGCAAGTGCTTTACACCTCAGCAATATTTCCGTGCTTAGCGACGACGATAAACATTTATTTAAACGAGCTGTTGCAAATAGTAGTCAATGAGATTTTACAATATATTATATGCATATGTTATTGAGTTCTTTTGTTCATTGCTTCGGCTACACCTCTGAATAATTTGGATTCGGCGCGCTTCAGCATTCACACTACGGGGCGCCACATGGGCCACATAATACTAGATTAAGACCGTCCTACAGCTACATTCACGAGCATGCACGACGAGCAATTAAAACTAAGTTTACGCGATAGCGTAACATGTGTATTGAGGAGTAATATATTGATCGTATATCTCTCTTAACCTTCTTTATCTCAGTAATGACACATGGAGGGGGAAATCGCGTAGGATACTTTACTCATTACTAAAGTTTAGTAGAGTTATAGCAAGCAAGTGTTGATTTTATGTACCTATGAAGTTTGTCTACCGCTTTTTTAAGATCCGTAAAAAAAAAAATAATGGATACTTCATCGAAAACAGCTAATCATAATTCAGAGCATGCTGTGGCTGGTGCTGTTAGTGGTTTTGTAACAAGATGTATGTGTCAACCCTTAGATGTTGTAAAAATTAGATTTCAGGTAAAAAAATACAAATTACATGGAGTATAATGACAATATTTATAATATTGTGTATGTATTAAAAGAAATTTTTTATGTGTACTGTAGTTACAAGTTGAACCTATTAGTAAATATCATGTTAGTAAATATCACTCCATAGCACAAGCATTTTACTTGATAATTAAGGAAGAAGGTATATTTGCTCTTTGGAAAGGACATGTTCCAGCTCAATTACTATCAGTTGTGTATGGTATGAGTCAGGTGAATATATATGACATGAAATTTTCATGTGTTCCTTTTTGTTACATAGTGTTATTAATTGAAATAAACAATTTACAAAAAATTGGTTTTACAATATTTATTTTATTTAGAGACATTGGTACCTAGATAGTTGCATTTAATAATGGTTCATGTTTTTACCAAATGTATTGAAAATT